TTTTTGGTCCTTACTGTTCACAAATCCGACCCCTTTTTAGTCCTTCCGTTAAATTTTGCTCATGTGGCACGTTAACTTAACTTGAACAGTTGATGTGGGAATGCCAATGTGTAAAAGATGCTTACGTGAACTTAATGACACCCTCTACATCACCCTCCACGTCACTCTCCACTTCCTCCTGCCTTTTTCTTTTTTTTCTTTTTTCCCTTTTACCCCCAAGCGAACCCGCGAGCTGGGTTTGCCTGGGTTCGCGAGGAACCCAGGAGCCTGGGTTGGCAACAAACCCAGTCGCCTGGGTTCATTGCCAACCCAGTAACATTTCCATGTCAGTGTCACATGCTCCAAATCAATCCACAAACAAGCACAAAAATCACTACAGAAATGAAATGCTTCTTTTTCATGAGATTAAATCAATCAATTCTCGCACCCAAACTAGCAAGTCTTCCAACAAAGTCGAAAAAATCCAACCAAAAGGAAAATGTTTTAAGGTTATGAAATTCAAATCAAACATTTTAATTTCTCAGATATCTCAGAAACAACCTGTGATGCTTTCCTAGATCCAAACAAAATACAAAGAGAACCTAAAGGCTTAAAGCAAAATCTTAGTGATTGAACAAATTTGGACGATTTGGGAAAAAAAAAGAATACCATTGAACCCTTCAACCACGGCATGAATTAAATCCCTGGTAAGAAGCTTGTAAACTTGAGCATTTGAGCAGGTTTCATCGAACACATGATCTGCAAATGCGAATACGAAAAAGAAAAGCTTAATTGAACAAAATCCACACTGATAACATGGTAAATCGAAGATGAAATAGAAAGGTTAAATACCCTGCTAGGTTTGTCGCGATGAACCTTGCTCGTGGGTTCGCGACGAACCCAGGAGCTGGGTTCGAGATGAATCCAAGCTCGTGGGTTCGTCATGAACCCAGCTTATGGGTTTGCGATGAACCCAGGCTCCTGGGTTCGCCTAAAGGTAAGGAAAAAAAGAAAAAAAAGGCTGAGGAAGGAGAGGATGGGGGAAGAAAATGAGGGTGAACCCAATGAACCCAGGCTCCTGGGTTCGCCTAAAGGTAAGAAAAAAAAGAAAAAAAAGGCTGAAGGAAGGAGAGGATGGGGGAAGAAAATGAAGGTAAATTGGTAATTAAAAATAAAAAATTTGGCCATGTCATTGAGTTTTGTCATATGGATTTTACACGTAATTTAAGTAAAGAAAAAAATAAAATTTTTCGTTAATTAACTTGCCACATCAGTCAAAATTTAACGGAAGGACTAAAAAAGGGCCAGATTTGTGAACAGTAAGGATTAAAAAAGGGATTTTTTTCGATACAGGGACTAAAAAAAAAACTTTTTCGTATAGTAGAGGGACCAAAAAAGGTATTTAACCAAAAGGAAAC